TGTTTCCTAACAATTGCTTTGCTTGTTAGGGAGACTAGATAAAGAGTTGTGTGAATAGAATAATGTGTTACAGAAGTACCTGGGAGTGAATCAGAGGAAAGAAAGTTGAATTTTACTCCATGGGCACAGAAAAACCTGCATTTTTAGCTTTTGTGCATTGGATATGTATTTTTCTTTAGCAACAAAATGTACATAAAATGCAGGTTTCATACTAGTCTGTCATAATTTCCTACCAGTGTTTCAGCTTTTAGAATGACTCTTTCCTTTAAGAAAGTGGTAACGAGAGCTAGCACTTACATGCCTTTCTGAAGCTCTTTTTGGGAAACTTAATTTGGGCGCTGTCAGTTACTTCTGTTCATGGTTTGTTTTTTGTTTTTTTCCTCTTAAACATAATACTAGTTTCCTTCTTCAGTTTTAACCTTAACAGCCGCTCAGTGATGGTGATTTCTTTGCTAACATGGTGGTGGATGCCGCACTGGCAGTTAAATACACAGACCAGAAGGGTCAGGCTCGGTACCCCATCAACTCGGTGAATGTTCTGAAGGCCCACGGCCGCAGCCAGAAGGAGAGCATTCTCGTGAACGGTTACGCTCTGAACTGCGTGGTGGGCTCTCAGGGTAAGAACAGGCTGTGTTGTAGAAATCTTCCCTGTCACCTCTGTCCTCTTTGTCCTTCTGCATCGCTCTCCTTACTGGCTGTGTTCGTTGCAAATCATGTGGGTTTTCAGTTACAGAACAATTAAACAACACAAAATACTGCACTTCACCAGTGTTTCTTAGACTAGAGCCTGTCAGTTAGCAGTGATCCACAAAGTGTTGGTGAGTTGCTGTAGTTTCCCTAGATCAGTGTCAGCAAGGTAGCATTGTGGTCTGGTGGAACTTAAATGCTTCCCTTGTGGGGAGCCACTGCCAGGTTTGTGGGGAAATGTTCCATTTAGCAGAGCTGTGCTGTGATTAGGTCACTTAGAGGATGTGAGACCAATAGGTCAGATTGTCATGGTCATTCACATTTTGGGGAGGCATTTAAAAAATGTAAATCGGCGTTTTTCTGCAGTAGGGCAGAACTGGTGGTGGAAAAGCAAACAGTAATCTGAAATGTGAAAGTAGTGTTAATTTTAATCTCTAATGCTGACTTGATGTCCTGTTAAATTGATTTGACAAAATCCTTCTTGCTTATTTTTCCTCATCAGGTATGACCAAGAGAATAGTTAATGCAAAGATTGCATGCCTTGACTTCAGCCTGCAGAAAGCAAAAATGAAGCTTGGTGTTCAGGTTGTTATCTCAGACCCTGAGAAGCTGGACCAGATAAGGCAGAGGTGTGTAGAAGCTTGAATAACTGAGGTTAGTGGGGTTTCACAGGCTTGATTTGGTCTCTTCAGTTGAGGTGGCTCAATTTAATTTTGGCTGAGAGCAAGAGGTAAAAAATGTTTTGAATGTTAACATTTCCCACCAATACCAAATAGTAATGGAAGAAGTCTTCACTTCTGGAGGCAGAGCTAGTATTAAGTCAGTTTTCAAGAAATGCCAGTGTGTTTGTGCAGTGGTCCGTTCTTGCAGAGCTCTGCATTAAGGTTTCAGGAAGTTGACTGACAAGATGTGATGGTATATTTTTTAGTATCTTTTTATAACTTTGACATTAATCTTTGCAGAGAGTCAGATATTACCAAAGAAAGAATCCAGAAGATTCTGGCCACTGGTGCCAATGTGATTCTCACCACTGGAGGTATTGATGATATGTGTCTGAAATACTTTGTTGATGCTGGAGCTATGGCAGTACGGAGAGTTGTAAAAAAGGACCTTAAGCGGATTGCTAAGGCATCAGGAGGTATGTCTATGTAAGAATAACTGGTTTATAAATCTGTTCTTAAAGTAGAAGCTGTTGTTAAGGTATTTCTTAACTCATTTTTAAAATACTGCTTCTTAACATTCAAGGTCAGGATGAGTAAAGCTGAGCCACTTTTTAGCTTTACTGTTGCTTTTAAGTGACCTTTGTCAAAGTAGTATTGTAAGACTTGATTGTTGAAGGGGGAGGAGTGGGAGGAGAAGAAGCTGCCTTGCACTGTGAAGACTGGCCTTTTGTGGAAATAGGAGCCATAATCTGTGTTTATTTAGAAGTCTTTATTATGCATGCATTCATAAGCCTCTGTTTAGACAGTTAAGTACATTGTTTAGATAGTTCAAGACGAATTAAGAACTCCTAAATCACTGAATCATACTTTGAAAAAATTCTGGTGCTGTACATATTTTTATCTGTCAGTTCTTAAATTTGGAAGAAAATGTTTTCATTGTGGTAAAGCATGGGAACTTGTACTGGCTGTGAAAAAAAACAAGTGCTGTAAAAGTTGAACAAAAGGAGCAGTTTATCTGTTAGAAGTACTGAATTGCTGCCTGACAACAAGAAGTGTTGTTTAAGAAAAATCTATTCAATAGAGCTCTTATTTCTGCTTTTCTTTCTGTACACCTATTCTGGGAAGTGGCAAAGGATGACGTGCAGGAATTGAATGTTAACTTCACTTTTTTTTTGTTTGTTGAAGCAACCATATGTTCAACCCTTGCAAACCTTGAAGGTGAGGAGAGTTTTGAGGCATTAATGCTGGGACAGGCAGAGGAAGTGATTCAAGAGAGAATCTGTGATGATGAGCTGATTTTAATCAAGAAGTAAGGATCCTTTTAAAAATACTGAATGTTGTATATGTTCTCTACTAAGTTTGAGATAAAATTCCATTTATTTACTTCATGCTTTCTGAGTGGTTGGAGTAGTTATACACATGGGAAAATAGTTATACACAAATCCAGTGCAAAGTAGAGGTGAAAGTATCAGTGTTTAATCTCTTCTGCTGGAGCTGGATACATTTTGTGAACTGCAGTATATGAACCAATTAGATTGCTAGGCAGTTTTTACTTCAATTTTTGTTTATAAACAAATGTTTCTAAACTGGCTTCCCTTTAGAGATAGTAAAGGGGAATAGGTACCATCTGAATAAAGAGATGTGAGCTAAATCTTTCCATTTGTAGTGAAAGACCATGTTCAGTTGTGCTGCTGTCAGTGCTGTCTGGTACCTGAAGACTTAAATATCAATTCATTTAACAAGAACATGCTTTGGGTAATAACTTTTCCACTGCTTCAGTATGCCTTCTGGGCGTTCATGTTCCTGTGGTGTCATTTGAGCATGAATGACACACTCTGCCCATGGCACTTGTGTGCCAGCTACATGTGACAGCCTTTTCTGTAACATTAGCAGTCATTAACTTACTTGAGGGCTGTGCAAAAGGGGTCTTTCTTACTATCTAAGTACACTTTCCCCTCTTTGATGGCAAAACATCTGACTTTGACAGGTAGCTTTCTTTAAAAGATTAAAATTCAAACTAGATGCATGCATGTTAGAAATTAAAATGGTGACTAAGTGTTAGTTACAATGTGTGTATCCTGCAAGGAAACATAACAAGGTTAAGATCTTCTTTTAAATGTTGAAATAATGAGGCTCAACTGAACTCTGCTTCAGAATAAAAAATTTACCAAGAAAAATTTTAATCTAGATTCCATTCAACACAGCTGACTTCTGATTCCTTTTCTTCTTAGTACAAAGGCTCGTACTTCAGCATCGATTATCTTACGAGGAGCCAATGACTTCATGTGTGATGAAATGGAACGATCTATACATGATGCTCTCTGTGTTGTCAAAAGGGTTTTGGAATCCAAGTCTGTTGTCCCAGGTGGTGGTGCTGTAGAGGCAGCACTTTCAATATATCTTGAAAATTATGCAACTAGCATGGTAAGTCTTGCTCAAAGAAGCAATGGTGTGTATGCATTAGACTTGCATAATGAATCTCCAAGCATTTATTTTCATCTACTAGAAGTAATTTCTGTGCCTCATGAAAACATAATCATCTTACAGAATCAGATGGTTCTTTAAAATGGAGGGTATGAGTGAATTCTTTCTCCCATAATTAGATTCTATGGTTCTTTGACCCAAACACAGGTTTTGCATGTGAAAACCCCTACTTATTAGTGCTGTTCTTGATTGTGGCTGTATTTTTTCCTCTCTTGTTGTAGCTATTGGTTTAAAAACTTTTTTCCTCTTTCTAGGGATCACGTGAGCAACTTGCAATAGCAGAATTTGCAAGATCCCTCTTAGTAATTCCAAATACATTGGCAGTAAATGCTGCTCAGGATGCCACAGATCTTGTTGCGAAGTTGAGAGCATTCCACAACGAGGCTCAAGTTAACCCAGATCGCAAAAATCTGAAATGGCAAGTATCTGTCTGGTAGAAGGCTGGTAAAAGTGATGTGGGTTGGTGACTAGAAGGAAAATTGTTCTCCCAGTTTACTGAACCGTGATTTGCATAGTAAAAAAAAAAAGTATGTTATCAGTGAACTCCTTTGCCCCTGCCCTTCAGTTGTGTGTATGTATTGCTGTAATTAAGCAGTAGCTACCCAGCATACTCCCAGCTGTATTTCTACTGTTTATCCCTCTCCATCTGACAGCATTCCTTCTTTGCAGGATTGGTCTTGACTTGATCAATGGAAAACCTCGTGATAACAAGCAAGCTGGTGTCTTTGAACCAACCATGGTCAAAACTAAGAGCCTCAAGTTTGCAACAGAAGCTGCAATTACTATTCTTCGAATTGATGATCTTATTAAACTGCACCCGGAAACTAAAGAAGAGAGAGGAGGGTGCTATGAGGATGCAGTTCAGTCTGGAGCACTTGAAGAATAACTTAGGCTTTATTTATGTTTGTTTCACTTACACTTCCCACTCTTATAACTAAAATGTTAATAAAACAAGTGGTTGAATGTTGCTGCTATTTTCTTGTGAACAAACTTAATTTTTGAAAGCAAGGTTGGTTCTTGCAGTGAGAATTTAGGCTCTAGAGTGTGTTAACAGCTAGTGTGCCTGCAGTAACCACTGACCTCTTACTCGAGTCAGTGATTAAGTGTCAAAAAGTAATGGTGTAAGCTTATTTACTTTTAGGCAAAACAGGCAAAACAGACAAAATGTGCTGTTAAATGTTATTAGAAGTTTATTAGTAAAACGTTTCAAAGCTAGTTTACACTAGCTGTTCGTTCATTCCCTCACATTTATCTCTCAACACACATGGCTATTCCCATTCCTCCTCCTATACAGAGGGCAGCAACACCACGTTTCCCACCAGTTCGTTCCAGTGCGTACAGGAGAGTTACAAGGATGCGACAACCAGAGGCGCCCAGAGGGTGGCCAAGAGCAATAGCTCCACCTTGTACATTGATCTAAAGAAAAAAAGCCAACACAGTCAACATTTAACTGGCTTAGCTGATTTTCAACATAAATTACTTCTCTGGGATCTAGCCCTTAATTATTTGTGAGCTTGAAACCCCAAGCCTCACTTCATACAACAAAGTGCATATGAATGCAACAGCGGGTTATAACCAGTACTTCTGCAAGAGTGCTATCTTCACTCTGAAGATAAGAGGTGAATTTAGGGAGAATAATACCATGCTTTTTGCCGTCACTGAAAGAATACTGTGGCAAATACAAATTGCAGCAGCAATTTCAAATTCTGAATTAAGTATGCTTGAACAGTTGCCTAGATATGTATGAACATCCACTGCAACAACACTGGAACTTGTTCAGCTGGGAAACTGCTAGCACAGCCAGCGGACAGAACTGTGTGAGGAAATGCCTGCTGGGGCTCCTTCCCTATTTGCGTACACCAAAGGCACTGCAAGAGAGCTGTGTTCATCCTTATAATCCACATGCACAGTATGGGACGAGTTTGAATTACAGGAGGCAAACTAATGCCAGCCTACAAATCATTACCTTTTCTAGATTCACTTTCAGTTCTTTTGCTATCGCAAGAGATAGTGATGCAAAGGCTTCATTAATTTCAAACAGGTCAACTTGTTCCAGACTCCAGCCAGCTTTGTCAATCTGAGAAAACAGTGCAAATAAGACCTTATTATCTTTTAGCTCTTCCTTAGCACTTGAGGAAGCTTTTCAAGATGCAAATTGTGTGATTTGAAGCTACCACTTTAGCAAAGTAGAAAGAAAACAATTTTTTCTAGCCAGTGTTGATGACAGAATTCTTGAAGACTACAGGCTTCAGTGTCAGACAAGTCAGTACAATGAGCTGTAATAATGCTGGCTGCTCATAAAAATCTTGACTAATTTTACACGTTGTAGCAGTGGTGGTGCAATTGTAGGAATCAAACTGTACCTGGTGCCCTTACTACAACAAGCACTGGATTCAGAAGCAGGCTTTAACAGATTAAAAGCAATTTTTTAGGACATAGTCTGACTCCATTAGGGAGTCTTTATTAACAGAGACTTTTACACAGGAAATAGTGAGGTGTCAACCATTAGTGATCAGTGCCACATCTGATTTGTCCAGTCTCTCTTGCCTTTACATTGAGAGGTGGCACTTTAAGCTTTTCACAGCTGACTATTCTGCAAGATGGTTTGGCTCATGTTTTCACTTGAGAAACTTGTGTTGCAATTGCCTACTCTGGTACAGGCTTAGGCATGTTTCACATGTGTACATTTTTACTTCCAGTCACTTTGTTTCTAAGAGCAATACTTTTATCAGCAGAATCATCACCACTGATGTTTTGCAACCTAGGCTGGCCAGGTTGCTGCACCTCTGAGGCTACAGTCAAGGAGGAGAGCCTTTTTCTATAGATAAAATAGACAGTATGGAGTATCCAATTCTTCTGGGAAAAGCTTGGGATACACAATGTTATTGTAACACTTAATGTATTAACATAGTCATTCTCTTACTATAAGGTGCTACTCTAAAATTCTGAAGTGATAATACATGGAGGGTCTGAACATTTGGTAACACACATTACAAAGTTTAATCACAGAATCACAGAATGTGCTGAGTTGGAAGGGAGGACCCATGAGGATCAAGTTCATCTCTTACATAAATGGCCCATAAAGGGATTGAAGCCACAACCTTGGTGTTATTAGGACCATGCTCTATGAAGTAGTGTGCCCTTTTTCATAGTATGTATACAGTTGTAAGTACAGCTTGTCTGTCCCACAGTTTATACTAAAACTGTATTGTATATGCAGTTACTGCACCCTTCATTTAAAAGAACAGTTTGAGATCTGGTAAGAAAAAGCTTTAGCATTACATCTGATTTTCTTGTCAAAAGCCACAGAGCTTGAGTGAGTTCAGGTCAGACCTCCACATCACCAGGACATTTCAGAGGTGAACAAAATAAGGCCTTTCCACAGTATTAAAAAAATAAGGAACATTAAAGCAAATCTGTTCTTAGCTCTTTTCTTGCTCACTTTCACAGCTAAGCTTTAACAGATAATCAGCTGGGGCTGCTATGGGTTACGGATGTATTAGCAAGCAGTGTGGTACCAGCAGGGCTGCTCACTGGGGCTGAGTCCTGTGGACTGAACACTGAGCACAACAGTGGGTGCAGTAATGCTCTGAGCATGTTAGATGTGGTTTTGGAATGCACCTTCCTGTTCAGTTACACCTGAAAGTAATCCACTTTGTAAGCTCCAAGCTTTTTACAGATCAAACTGAAACACAAAGGGCACTGTCCCATTTGCTAATGCACATGGCACTCAGTGGCCCTTCTCTCAGTGTTCTACTATTGCAAATATATTCAGGCAATGATCTAAAAATTAACCTGGCCAGACACAGCATCAGAACTGTATCATTGAATTAGGTTAGTTACACACATGCCTGAAATTTGGTCTTCAGCCTCCTAGGTTATCTAGGTACCTTTCCACAAACCTGACTAGTTTATGCTCTGAAGTCCATTTATACACACCTCCATTTGGGTTTTCTTTTCCCAACAAGTAGGTACTAGCCTAGTAGCACTAGGATTCCTAATCTTATACACTATTTTGAGTCTGTTTTTCACGTAGTTTACTTTTTTCCTACTAAGTTTTCTTTAGAACAGGGCAAAACCAAGACATGGCCAGAAAACAAAAAGCAATTAAAACCAAGAGTTTTAGCATCATGGATACATAGATAAGTGATTACTTACAGCTTTCCTTATTGCTGAAATGGGCCCTACTCCCATAATAGATGGATCTATACCTGTCTGAGCCCAAGATACAATCCGAGCCAAAGGCTTAAGACCTCTCCTAGCAGCTTCTGATTTCTTCATTAGAAGAACAGCTGCAGCTCCATCATTTAAACCTGTGGAATAACAAGCAAATTGTATGTATTTGTTGGACTTTATGGCTTTTACTGTACCACTTTCTCCCGTTTGCATAAAATCACAATCTAGACAAAACAAAAATCACAAATAATTTACTGCTTTAGGTTGGTACTGCTCATAGCAGCCAAGTCTGTTCTCTGCCACAAACACTTGAAACTATATTGCTGTAAATGTGGCACATTTGTGATTCTATTTAGAAAGCAGCAGGTGGAAGAATTAAAATCTGAAAAAGAAGTATATCAGACTTGTTAGGCAGGCTTTGAAAGGGGCAGCATAAGGCCACAGAAAGATGTTTAAAAACTGCTTATGGCAGTCCCACAGGATTCGTTTTCAAACATGAATTGTTAAGTTTTCCACTGACCAAACCTGCAGTGTCAGAAACCCTTAGACAGTTTTAAAAGGAAATATTCCTTCCAGCCTATCAAATATTGCAGTTATTGTCCAAACTTTAGTATTGTTTCATAGAAGACAAGGAAACAAAAGATGACTCTGTAAAGAAATCCCCCACCACATCTAAAATGGAGTTCTAGCTGCGTTGTCAAACACATTGCCATTTCCTGCAAAGCAGTGAACACACAGCAGCCACACCCCTTGCAGACACCCTGCCTTGAGCCACAAGCAGCTACTGTTCTTTTCCATGTCATTTAAGTAAGATGGACCAACCTGAAGCATTAGCTGCTGTTACTGTCCCAGTTCCATCTGTCAGGAAACAGGGCTTTAACTTTGCCATTGTTTCCAGGTTGCTCCCATGTCGAGGGTGTTCATCTATTTTAACTTCTATAGGACCTGCAAAACAGAGCATTATCCTCACCAGATTGCCTAATCACACAAACACATCTCAAACAGAAAGACAGCAAAAACAACATGCTGAGTGGGAATATACACCATATTCCTTTCAACCAACAAGGCATTCTTACTCTGGAGACAGCTGCTAACTCAAGGCAGTTTAATAAACAGCTGTAACCCTCCAGGTCCTTCTAGGAGGGCAGACAGCTCAGGTCTTCTAAAACAAACACTAGCTGTCTAGTTGTGCAAAAGCCAGTATCGTTCTAGCTGTTCCTAACCCAATACCGTCTCTTTCAGCAGAAGGTGTATTTCAATGATACTTCTAGTAATCTTGTTACAAAGAATAGCCAAGTGTCATTGACTCTAGCTGATCCTAACCCAATACCGTCTCCTTCAGCAGAAGGCTGTATTTCAATGATACTTCTAGTAATCTTGTTACAAAGAATAGCCAAGTGTCATTGAATATTATACTCTAAACTGGTATAATGAAATAGTTTGTAGCCAGCCTAATGCCAGGACTTTTTTTTTCTGCAGAGCCTGTTCAATGGAATTGTTGAAGAACTGATTCTTGATTTCTTTTTGGAAAATTTGTTTTTGCACATACCTCACAAGGAGCTGGGGAATTTCCCTGCTCTAGAAACAGACCTTGGCTCAAGCACTGTAATAGGTGTGTTTATATCCCTCACAAATCTAAAGAGAAACATACCCATCATATGTAACCTGACTACATATTAACTAGTAACCCTAATTATTGTCACTCTGTATTTCACTAGGCGGGCAAGGTTTGCCAGATCAATATGACTGTTTTAAGTTTGGTGCAGCAGGAGTCTTAAGAAAATGAACAACACTGATTTTGGTACCATATCCAAGCCTACGTTAAGTCAGTGCTTTGTCTAGATTGTTATTCTATCTCCAGTGAAACACACTAGTACTGTTTGCAGAAAGCTACACTGAGATATTCCACATTTGCATTGCTTCTCGCTTATTTAAAACATAACATGAAAGCTGAAAAAGAGAGCAACAGGCCAGATGCCGACAAAAAGGCTGTGTAAGTGGGAAACCATCCACTGATTACAGGAGACATAGCAGAAAATAGATTTTTTCCTTAAAATCAGCTCTCATTATCCATTCATACCTACCTTTCTTTGAAGGTACAAGAACAGGAACAATTTCTTTTGTAAAATAGCCAGCTTTCTGTGCTGCCTCTGCCCTGTTTTGTGACTCTACAGCAAGTTGGTCTTGTTCGCCTCTGCTGACTTGCCACTTCTTGGCCACATTTTCAGCTGAAATGGGAACAAAATGCAAACCGCCATCAGGAAATACCAAAATTTTAAGTTGCAAAATAGTAAGCACAAATGTAGTCATTAATGTTTGCTGTAGCAAGCACCTGAGTTCACTGAACTGTTTTCATTCCGATTTCCTCATTTTGTTTGCTCATGATTTTCTACTGGATTTTCACTTGAGGGTGAAAATTTCTGTGTGGGATCTCCTCCCAGATGATATTATCAAATGAAATACAAATGCAAACAAGCTTTTGTAGTTTATTGCTTCTCTGAAGTACTATGCTCAGATCTCTCTACAGCCACTCCAGGAAAGGGAGCAGTTCTGAAGTCACTCTTTTTCATAAGCAGGGCCTGGAAAAGCAGTTGGCTGACCATGCCAACCAGGGTGCAATAACCTGAAGCTGCAGAACCACACCTCTCCATAGGACACTTTACGTAACTCCCCCCCCACTGTAAATCTGTGCTGCTAAATGCTCCAGTTACATACAGGGATTGTTTTATTCATACTTTTAATTTCTCAGATGTAGAAGACGTGCAGAGAGATTAGCTCACACAGAAGAAAAACCCAAAGCAGCAGCTTTACAAACAAAACAGAAAACGCCTTCAATGCCTTTCAATATTATGTATTTCTTTTTCTTTCTTTTTCATGACTACAACATAAGGACAGCTTGAAACACGTTATTTGTAACTTCAGATTTCTGAAATTTCCTGTCAATGAATTCTTGCAGTTGATAATTTCATTTTATGGACTGCCATCACTTACCTGTTATGCCCATGTGATACTGATAAAAAGCATCTGTAAGGCCATCAAAGATTATAGTGTCCTGCAAGGAAGCCTCTCCCATTCTGACCCCAGCTCGCATGTGAATGACATGAGGAGCCTGCAAAAGCGCATTTTGAAAGGAATGAGATGTTTACATCTCTAGTACACAATTCAGACAGACCACTGCAGAGACAGACCCCTGCCTGGTGGCTGGAGGTACCCATCCCAAACCCTGGCAGTCTCTCCAGCTGCCCGCTCTGCCTGTCCCTCCAGAGCCTGCCAGCTGGCATGCCATGTGGCCTGTGCATTTCCCTAGAGACCATCACACTGCAAGTGTTGTTTCCTCTCCACAGACCAAATCTATCATTCCTGGGCCACATGGCTGTAGCTCTCCCATCTTATTATTCTGCTCCAGGTAGTTCCCAATTGCATTCTGCTGTCAGGGAATATTAACATCACTTTCAGCACAGGCAGCTGAGCCCTGGCAGAAGAGGCCATCCGTTTCTTGGGAATCAGATCACCAGCTCAGACCCATTCCTGAATACAGCCTTGGGATGAACAACTTGAAATAAAACTGCTTTGCTTTCTTTCCAAGCTCTAATTTCTTGGCAAACAATAACATTTTCAGTTATTCCTTCTCTGGGCTTCTTGCAATACAAAAACCCTGTCTATTGTGATATGTCACAGGAAAATCATTCACCACAACAGGGTTAGATGGAAATGAAAATGGAATTTTAAATGCAGTGTGTGTTTGCAGGGCACCTTTTCAGCAGCTGCAGTATGAAGTCTTTTTTTAAGAGACTGAAGTCAACTGTTGCACCTGTAAATTCGTTCGCAAGCACAGCGACCCTTTCGACCCTCCAGGTGCCAGCCTGGAAACCCAGGGTTTCAGCATCGGGCTCTCTGCTCCCAGGACAGCAGCACAACGTGAGTCTAACCCTCTGCTTTACCTTGCTCATACTTTCCATGCCCCCTGCGACCACGACGCTGGACTCTCCCATCAGTATGGACTGAGCAGCCAGACACACCGCCTTCAAGCCTGACCCACAGATCATCTGGCAGCTCCAGGCGGGCACGGAGTACGGGATTCCCGCTGCCACGCTGGCCTGCCGGACGGGGTTCTGGCCAGCACCTGTGGGAACAGGCAGCATTTTGCTTTTGTCTGTTCTTAAAAACACAAACGTCTGCCTTGTCACTGTTCATAATACCCCGATTCCACAAAAATTTAGAGCTCGCTCCTACTTTTAGCTGGTGGGTAGAGAAGTGCCCAGCAGTAGTCTCTAAACAGATAACCTCTTTAATTTATATTGATCAATAAATACCTGCTACTGATAGTTTTATATCTACAACTCTGCTTTTGATGCCAGGTCAGAGGATAAAACACTACTTCAGATCAGCCCTAGCCTGTTGTATGTGTAGGATGAGAAATCATTTAAATTGCTACTTTCTGAAGTTTCTTTTTGACATCTTCTGTACATCACCAGCAGTTAACTTTCCCTGAAAGTTCATACGGAAACCAAAAGCACAACCATGTACAGATGGACCTGAAAGCTTCCAGTCTTTGTTGTGATCTTGATGGAGATAATAGGAGCACTATATTCAAAGAAAACAGTCTTCATCTGCATCTCCCCAGGCCAAAGCTCTTTGTACACAAAGAAAAGGACAAGGAGAGCACATCATTCAGCAAGCTGAAAATAGAGAGGAATCTGAATCATCTTTAAGACAAAAAGATATATTTCCTTCCTCCATGTCTAAAACACAAAGCTGCCTATGATTCTACTGATTAAACATTACCCTGGAAAAAAGCAGGAGCAAGTTCAAAACAAACAATTCCCTGCCAGTTACATTTTCATTAAATCAAAATATTTGTCTCCAAACAAGTTGCATCACAAGATCTTGCAGGTCAGTCCTGCAGATAAGCACAAATGCAGGCCTAGCTCTCAAAATCTCAGAGTTATCATTACTTAGGATGTTAAATTCAGCAGCTGAGATGATCAAGGTGAGAAGGATGCTGTAACAAAGAAACTGACATTCACACATACGCTGTTGGCTATTTCAGGGATTTAAAAAAAAAAAACCCGAACTATCCCCCACAACATCCTTTCCAAAAACCCATCTTTCGGTCGCCCAGAGCGTATGGAGAAGCAGCCACGATGCCTCTCAAGTCCTTTGTTAAGGAACCGTGCTCCCAATGGCAAGGCAAAACGCCCTGGAAGGTGAAACCTGAGCGTCTCCATGGGACAACCCCGAAGAGAGGCTGCCGCGGGCGGAGCGGTCCCGCCGCCGGCCCGTACCTGCGGTGAGGACCTGCCCCAGGATCACCTCCGACACCTCCTCGGGGGCCAGCCCGGCCCGGCGCAGCACCTCCCGGATGGTGGCGGCGCCCAGCTCGTGCGCGGGGAGCGACGACAGCCCGCCGTTGAAGGACCCTGGCGGAGGGGACACAGAGGGACAGCGCTCAGCACCCGGACACCCGCCCGGCCCCGGCGGCAGCACCCGCCACCCGCCGCTGCCTCACCCACGGCGGTCCTGGCGGCGGACACGAAGACGACGGGATCCGCGCTCATGGCGGCGGCAGCGGCAGCGGCGGGCGCGGAGCGGAGCGGAGCGGAGCGAGACTGAGCGGAGCGGCGACCGCGGCCGGAGCAAAAGCGGAGTCGGCGCCGGTCCCGCCCCTGGCCCGCCGGCGGGCGGGGCGGCAGCACGGAGCCCGAGCCGGGGATTCGTCGCCGGGCTCCTGAGGACAGCGCGGGGGCCGGGCGGGCGGTGGCGTGGTCCGGCCGCCCCCTGAGGCGATCGATGGGGCGGCCTTGGCAGATTCCTTCCCGGCCCCTTCCCTTCCTTCCCCTTCCCCTGCCAGGAGCGGAGCGGCTCCGCCCGGCGGGCCGGGGCTGCCGCGGCCGGGCACTTCCCCGTGCCCCCGCTCGCACAGCCGCTGCCTGCCAGCTCCGTCTGTATTATTTATTCACAAAACAAAGCGTGCGGGTCAGGTGCTCTCTTGTCATATTGTGGCTTTAAGGACAGTTTGTTTATTTCATGACGGCATTTCTTAGGTTCTGCGTGAGCAGGGAGAAAGAATAATAATTTGAATAAATCTACACGAAACTGCCGATCGCTGGTTTGATCTGCTCAGCAACTGATGCGCAGAGATTACCAACAGCCTTTTAATATTTTTAATATTTTAATGTTTAAATTATAATTTAATATTTTAATATTAAAATATTATAATATTATATATTTTAAGATTTTTATTCTTTTTTCTAATTTCAGCAGAAGCCTGACATCTATATTTTATACATACACATATATATACACATACACACACACACACACACACACACACACATATATATATATATATATGTATAGGCAGTGCTCCGCCGCTGGCCCCTAAGCAGGGAGCTGTTCCCAGGCTGTTCCGTGGGAAGCGATGCTGCAAAGGGAAAGGCGAGGTAGCCTGGAAGGACGCGGCGCTGGCCGCAGGAGCTCCTGGCAGCCAGGGAGCAGGAAGGAGAGGAGGCAGTTGCAGCAGTGGCCGCAACCCACAGCCGGATGGACAGGCAGCAATGTTTCTCTGCGGGGAAATGTAGGTGGGAAGCCTAGAGATGAGAGGTGGGAAGCAATAATATTAAGATATCTGGAGGAAGAAGGGTTAGAATAAAGGGAGGAACCAAGAAAGTAAGTCAAAGCAACTAAAAACAGTTTTAAAAAATTTACACGGGCTTAAATAACTGGTCTATTGCACAGCCTTGATCCTCAGTCCTTACTCCTTCCTTGCTTATTCACAGATACCTAGCCTAAGGGACGTGCCATCAAAAGAAGCAGCTGCATTGGATTTGCATCTGAAGGCCAAGAAGATGGTTGGAAAATGTGCTGTTGCTCCTACCTTAGCTACAAAGTCGGGAGGCTGTTTTTTCTTTCTATCCAGGTAGTAAAATTCTGTAGTTTTCACAGAGAGAACACAAGTACAAATTAAGTCCTAAAAAGCACACAGCATGTGATGACAAACACTGACAAACATAAATGTGGTTATATATGCAGTGAATGCACCAGTACACCTGTGGTACATCCTGCATGTTGGCTAATCTGAACTTGGCAGTATTAAATCTGCATCCACAAAATGCATCTGAACCTTCTGTGAGGGCACAATGAGCAACAGGAGCACTACGATCCCTGAGCTGGATTCTTCTGACTCCTATCAGCCTCTACTCTTGCTTTAAAATGTAAAAAAACCTACAGCACTACTAGACAGGGATAAAAATCCTACTTCAGCTATGGAAAGCAAGATTGGCCTAGATTTCACCAATAACTCTGTTAAATCATGCTGCAGGACTCCAACACTCAAAATGCATTCCTTCTTTTAGGTATTTTGGTCTTTGTGAAGGATGCAGAAAACCATATGTTCTTCAGTTACTTTGGGGTTTCCAGCTTTCAGCAAGAGAATCCCCTCAGATATCTTCAGGAAAGGAAATTGCTGGAAAATCCCGCAGGCAGCTAAATGCTTAGGCAGACTGATGTACCAGTCTCCTAAGAAGATGCATTAAAGGATGCATTAATTTGCAACATGTATGCAGCACTGCTTTTCTTTAATGATGCTGTGCACTCGGAGCAGCTGATAAAACTGGCAAAAATGTAAGATTAAATCTGGAGGGGAAAAACATGTTTTGCGTCTTTTCAAAAGGCTATCACTAAGCAGTAGAACTAACATAAAAGCAAAACTCAGGAGTGTAGGATTTTAAGCAATACAGTGACTGTTTTACAAAAATATTGTACAGTTCCTGAGCAACCCTGCATGACTGAATGTAGTCCCTGCATATTTTCAAAATTCAGTAGAGAGTAAAACAGACATATGAGGGCAGCACCAAGTGACCTCGTTTATCAACTGTACCATACACCAAAATGTCATTCTTAATGCAACATTTGACTGCTTACAACTTAAGACCATTGATGGAAATACAAAGTCAATAATGTGAGATGAGCTCAGATTAAATGTCAGCAGGTGCTCAAAGTCCACAACTGACACTACATCAGAAGTTATCCTTATGAACAGGATTCTTTTGAATTTAAAACTATACAAATATTGAATTGAACATGAAGTGAGGTTTCAGCCCCTTCCCTCCCCAAAGTTCACTAGCAGACAGAAAAAGTTCAAATATGAATCAGCCTTAGGGCCTTCAGGCCAGCTCACCCCAGTGACTGACCTGCTGCACCTTTGCTCTCAGCCCCAACCAGCAGAACAGTTTTGCAGCTCAACATTAGTGACAAACCAGGCTGTGAGGTTGGGGCACCCAAAAACAACAGAGATTAATTTTATCTTAGCATGTCTATCAGGTTTGCAGTATTCTATTTAACTCTGCTTGGATGGTGTCCAAGGTTGAGATCCAAAAGCACAAAAGGGGCATGTAATGTAGCAAAATAATGTAGCAATCACAAAAAGGCAAATAATTATGAAACATGCATGGTACAAATCAAAGTTAAGTTATTTAAATGCAGAAAAAAAACACTGAATGGGAGTAGGCAGCTGTGCTTTTCAATTCAATGTAGTTAATGAGCAGCCTAATACTCAATAATAAACTACTGACCTATGCTGGTACATTTTGCCATTTCTCAGAAATCTAAACTCTGGGAAATGAAGTAATCAGTTCAGAACAGAAATCTTACCTGCTATCAGTTGCACAAAGTTTATTTACTACTTTGCTATGAGCACAATCAAATGGACAAGTGCTTTCGATGAAATACTCAAAGTGCAAAGATTTTTGCATTTTCATTTGCTAATGGTGGCTCAGTTTTATTAGAAATAGAAGAAAAGTTAGAGGAGTTCAGTGTTCACTGATTTACTCTCCTGCTAAAGAACTTTTTTCTAAAACTGACTTTTTAAAAGATCAGTATTGTTACCAAAATGCAAAGCCCTTGCTTTTTTTCCTCAAATCTGACATTTTGTCAATGAATATTGGCAAAACCAGGTTTGTTGGGAATGTGATTTTAATAAAAAATAACATGCACCTCTTAAAGGAAAAAAACCCAAACAAAATCCAATTACTTTAAATCAATAAATCTCAATATGAGATAATTCTATTTTTTTTAATTGATTTTACAACTTTCCTGTGACAGCAAATTCTCTAAAGTCTTATACACAAATATTGCTTATACACTAATATCTGCTATGGGAACTCAGTCTTCCTGGACGCCTTTAGTACTTTAAGACCTTTCTTCATGTGTAGAAAGACTATTCATTCTTTCTCCAGGTTTTCTTAGCAGTGGACTGACATTCAGTTGTCTATGAGTAGGTTCAGCACATAAGGCATGTTTTTAAAACAGACAGACACACTGTTTTCCCAGTGAGGTAAAGAGCTTCATTTTCTAAAATTTCTCAATCTCTCACCTGACTGACAGGATCCTTGGAAATCAAGGTAACGAAACATCTTTGGCTGTGTTTTCCTTGAATCCATTTTTGTAAGGCAATGTTCGTAATCTAATTGGTGCTTAATTAGAAAATGTAGTCTTCCCCTCAGACAGGAAAAAGTTTGCACTAAAACTATCTTGGCCTTTCTATGGCTTAAAAAAAAAAGGTAAACACCTGAGCTTATATCCTTAGCAAATGTATGCACACCTGTACTCCAAATGCAAGCTTGCAGTATTTATCAAGCATCCCCAAAAATGAATTTGAGTCACCATTTGGTTGTAATTGTATCTGGATGGATTATTAGTCAGGGGATGTCTTCAGGACAGGCTTCGGAGTTCACTACCTATATCTATATCTATATATCTATATCTATATCTATTGCTGTTAAATAAAAAGTAATTATTGCAAGAGCTTTCTGAAGAAGTTTATTTACTTCTTGCTATAAAGATGTAAGAAAAATAGGTGATAATTCCACTAAGACACGTATAAGCATTTTAGCAGGGGATAGAAAGACAACATTAAGCCTGCAGCCTCGCATTCAGGAAGCTTCTCTAAAAGAGAGAGTTCTCTGATGTCAAATTTGTGCTTTCCACAGCCTAGATCTTTACCTAGTAGTCAGCTGAAGGACCTGTAACACTTTCCTCTCAGTGCAATCCATAGATTTAATCTTTCTCCCATACCTGTAGGCTGCAGCAGCCTTTTGCAGGGCTCCTGAGAGCTCATTCTCTGCTGCAGATGTACCACGGGTTTGCCTTGCTCCATCTCCTGTCCTTGCAAGTCAAGGACAGCATTTGCAAGAGCCAACTGGCCTTTCTTCAGTTCCTGATATTTCAAGGTCCTTTAAAATACCAAGAGTATGTACAGTACTCCAATTTTTTTTTTTAACTTTTGAAAAAGGCTTTATGTAATTTTCCCCCCTAATTCCTCAGTTCCCTGACCTGCAGACTAACTTTTTTTACAAGTGTTTTAGACTAGGAAGCTTTTCCCCTCACAGCCTGCCAGCCCTGGCGACAAAGAGCATCTCTCAGAGCTGGGAAACATCGTAGTATTTGTGTTGGTCTACATGGCTTCCATGTGAAACCAAGGGGTGGAATAGAAACCCAGAACTTAGCCAGTAAAACCAAGGAGGAGCCATCCAGTTAATGGACAATTAAGTTAATGAGTAACACACCATCATTCAAGGAGCCTAAAACCTGGTGAGCTGTGGTGCCCACTCATTCATAATCTGGTTCCTATTCCATTTTGTCATTATAATCAATATATGAATTTGGCTTTTGTGTTGATGCTTGGACAGATCAGGACATGACCTCTCATCCAAAGACCAATGCTGCTGCTGGGGGTTATGATACCACCTATCACTTGAAAAGCTAATTTACTCCAGTTACCACGCTGTAAACACAACCCAAGGCGCGTGTCGACAC